TAATTACAAGATGTACTTCTGGACTAGATCTTAAATAAGAAAAAATAACTATTAAAGAGATTGACATAATTTGAATATGAACTCCAGATTAGATACTATTACTGTATCAATGTTATATTTACTGACTTTGATAAATATACTGTGATTATGTAAGAGAAAATCTTTATTCTTAGGAAATATGCACAGCAATTTTATGGCTAAATAGGCATGATACCTGCAAATTATTCTCAATGGTTCAGAAACTATACATAGAGCCAATGATGAAACAAGGCAAAATATTAATAATAAAAAATCTTGGAAAAAGTATGCAAAGGCTCTCTATACTTTTCTTGCAACTTTTCTAGAAGTGTGAAATTACATCAAAAAAAGTTTTTAAATCATGGTACTTCAAAGTAATAAAATAGAACCCTTAAAAATGATGGTGAAGGTATTTATTTATTGGCAAAGAAAGATATCAATATTGTGTCATGAAAAAAAGCATGTTAGAAGACCCATTTTTTCCCATTTTGTTATATACATGTATCTGTAGATGCACACAAAAAAAATCCACGAAGGATATTCATCACCGTTGTCTCTGTGTGGTGGGGTCATGAGTGACACTATGTGTTTCTCTGTATTTTCTAATTTTCCAACAATGAATATGAATTGAAAGAAAGGTTTTCTTTCTGGCAGAGAAAGGGTGTCCTCTAAGAAGAAGAAATATAGCAGAACATTCTGAGCTAGTCCAAGTCCTATTTTGCACATATGCAGAATAAATGATTACATAATCTTAAAATTTGCTTGCTTTCTTAGTATTCCATATATAATTTATGTTTTTCTCCTAGACAACTGTGCCTTACTGCTAATTTACTTACCCTTTTTCATTTGTTCCATCTGCCTTTACAAAAGAGACTACCAAATACAGGCTTGCAGCTGTTTATCATTCCTGTACAACTGTATTATTTTATTTGTGCTAAGCAGCTCTAAAATCTGCCCTTCTAATTTTTATCAAAAGCTCTGCTTCTAAGAACCCCACTCTTTGCTCCTTGCCCCTTCCCCCTCCACAACTCCAGGGTATCAGTGTTTTCAATGGATATTCAAAGCCACAGGATGAATATGCTTTGTCTTCCTGGACGCTTAATTTTACTCAGATACGGGAGGGTGAGGTTATTATTAGAGTAAAGCAAGCCATTAGGTTATGCAGTCAAGCTAAAAATTTCCATAAATTTTA